GTGGTACATCTATGTCACCTCTTGAAAAAGCGCGACCCATGACAGATCTTGACCAAACACCTCCATCGCTTTGACGCCCCTTTGCACCAATATCAACCAAGACGAATTTATAATCACTATCACAAACAGCCATTAATACAATGCTATGTGCACTTTTGTAATTATAATAAGATGATCCAGAATTTGGTGGCGCCTAAAAATTTTTTCAAAAATATGTTAATCTATATAAGCGTAATAAAAGAATTTATAAAATATATATATTATATATATTATTATATGTATATATATATTATATATTTTACATTACGTATTACCTGTACAACAACGTGTTTTCCATCTATAGCACCTAAACAGTGAGGAAAGTGACATTTTATTTCAAATCCCTCAGCGATGTTTTCCCATTCGTCATATACTGGCTTCTTAAGTACGATAGGCATTAAAGTATCCCACAATTCGTTGCAAGTTTCTACAATTATTTTGGAAATTGTCGGTTGAGCAATATAATACTGATATTTCATAGACATCATGGAGTCTCCAGATGCTAAGTATCTATAAAAAATACAATATTATAAAAATGTAATCATAACAAGAATGACAATTTTTATACATAGATATGCTTGTATTTTTAACCTTAATGTAAGCAACAAACGTTGTGCAGGTTCGATTGGTTCTCGAAGAAACATCTTCTTTTTAATTTTTGGCGCAATTAACACAAGTAATTGTTCAAATTGTGTTCTGGTCAATCGACAATAATTTACGAATAAATCAGAATCTCTTAATAATGCGGGAATTGTTACATTGTAAGCACCGTTTGTATCACGTTGAGTTAGAAAATTGGAAACCCAATATTTTCTATTTTTATATTTTCTTTTTTTGCGATCCAATAACATTGCTGCCACCAATAATCTTCTTCGTATCGTAATTTGTATTATTGCACTTAGATTTGAATCATTCAAAATATTAGCCATTCTGCTCAAGTAACCTCACTACAGCACAACTCACAGTCGTACTGACAGCTTGACGGCATAAACAATCTCACTTTTCAACGAATTTCGTCTGCTATTTGTCGTATGAAGTCCATCACTACCCGACTTTAGTACGACAAAAGTTTAGTAACTTTCCGACGGAA